GATTATGAAATGCCGCAGCAGGCGGCGGCCAAGCGCGCCGTGGCAACACAACAGCGGCTGGCAGTGGCGAATGGGCCCGACATGCGCGACCCTGCCCTCAAAGTGCCGCTTGCCACCGCGCAGGACGGCCGACAGCAGGTAGCATGTGCAGGGGCCTAGTGGGCAGGGATAGAAATAGGTGGTGTTGTGGTTTTTTTGGGGGGGGGAGGGGAGCGCACACGTGTGCTTGCATATATGCGTGAGCGTGCACGTGTCAGTATTCAAGCGCGTACGGTGTTCTTGGCAGAACACAGGCCGGAGCCGGGACCAAGGGGGGGTGGGAGAGTGATGGAGGGGCCTGTGCTTCCCTCGCGTCTCTATCGCGTCCGACCCACGGAGAGGTTGTGGCAGGGGTGCCAGGCGGGTGGCTTCAAGGACACTTCCCCGCCCAGCCCCGGCCGAGCGCCTCACCAATGATGCTGATGCAGGCGGGGGCCAGGAGGTCAGCCAGGAACACCAGGCGGGCGTCGTTGCCGCGCGTGATGGTCACAGCCATCCACAGGGCCATCCACGTCTCCCGGGCAGCCGTCGCGACCTTGGAGCCCAGCATCAAGAGCATCAGCGCGGCCAATTGCCTGGCGCTCAGCGTGTCGTCCACCGTGCCGGCCTTCAGGTCAGGTGGCGATGCCGGCAAGGGAGGGGCTGACATTAGCACATGAAATGCCTGGCGCAACGGCGGTTCAGCAAAGACCAACAGCACATTGCAGCCTTTTACGCCGCGCCATGAGGGTGGCACACCAACCCATTGGGTAGGCAGGGTGATCAGCAACATCGGCCTACCACGCATACAAGGCGCCCTCTCAAGCCATGCCCTTGCAGCCACCTGCGGCCTCCCCATTTTCGGACGGTGCCTCGCTCTCGACCAGCTTCTTGGCGGCGGCGTGGTCGTGATCGTTGGTCAGCAGGGCGATGGGGGCCTTTTTGTTGGCCCGGACGTGGTCGTCCCTGCACTCCTCCGTCCGCATCGCGTTGAACTGGCAGAGCGTTGGGGGCGCATGACGGCAGGGTACAGGGAGAGACGGCTGTGAGCAGCAGCTTTGACATCGCTGTGACATCACTGCTCACAGCGAACAAGCGAGATGGTGCTGTGTGCCAGTGGGCAGGTCTGGGCTGCCGCCAGCTGCTGCTGCTGTTGCTGCTGCTGCTACCACGGCTACTGCAGCCTTGGCATCCGCTGCTACAAGGCGGCCCCCACAGCCCCTGCCACCGCCGCCGATGCATTCGCAGCGGCCGAGCCTGCAGTCGCCCCTGCCGGCGTCGCATCCACACCGGATGCGATCCAGCACAAGGTTGTTGAAGATGAGACGCAGGTGGTCGGGGTCGATGGAGCCCCTGGGAAAGTGGGGATGGCGCAGCTGCTGGCGCCGTGTGCAAAAGGGTGGACCTGCAAGGTGCAGCCCTGGGCGTCGTAATGGCGTTGGCAGGCGCGCAGTCGAGGCACAAACAAGCCACACGATCGAGCGCAGCAACGACAGCATTTCGCACCACTTGAAATTGCCCCGCAACCCTGGACGCTTGAGGGGCACCCAGCGGTTGTACAGCACATGGAAGGTCACACCACTGGATGGGAGCACGGTCCTAAGCGCTGGGTTCCAACCCCTTCGAGCAGATGGCGCCGCGTGTGCCCTCGTTGGAGGAGAGCTTGCAGCATGGGCACCTCGGTGGGCCCCCCTTCAGCAGGGAATAGAACGACACCTGTGAGTGCAGCATGGTGGCAGGAGCATGCTTGTGGGATTCAGGCACCCAGGGCCACGCCAGACCATGCCTGAGCGGTGCACACGTTGGGTTGGTGGGGCACATGCGTGTGCGTAATCATTTGTGCTTTGTACCCACAGGCCACTGCAGACCCGCACCAGCTCTAGATTAACAAAGTTGGGGGATGGTAACACTGCCAAGAAACACTGATGCAGTCCGAGCGAGCTGGTATGCAAGTGCTGTAGCGTCTGACATTCGGCAGGCTATGTGCCGCAGGAACGCGCGCTGCGCTCACCTCAGGGGCGAGAATCAGAAACCTGCGCACGGCATGGTTCACTAAGTCGTCCTGGGTCGGGGGCTTCATGCGCAGCGGCTCCTGGACCAGCGAGAAGCCCTCACAGTACAGTAGGGTCGACCAGATGCTGATCATCGCTGACCTTCTGGCGCAGCTGCCAAGTGGCGGGATCGGGCGTGGGGAACTTAGAGGCCGTGAATCCTTCAATACCGCCTCATAATGCGGGGCCTTGGCCCCGTTGGCCAGATGAGGTGGGTCCATCACGCTGAAGGAGATTGCATCCTGGGTGGTTGAAACCGCCAGGTCCAGGTCAGCGTCCGGCTCCACGATCATGGAGCTCTTGCCGCCTGCAGAACGCACGGGGTGTAACATTCTGTTTTCAGGGGGGCGTTCTTCAAGGGGCAGAGGTTGCGGACGAGGTAGGAGCAAGGGTATGCTTGCAGGCAGGCGGTTGCACGGTGTGCATCCGTTTGGATATCAAGATAATCAGAAGGAAGAGGACCCTGCCATCGCCCTGCAGCGACGTTTGCGTCGCCGGTGAACGTGCAGCCGGCCAAGCTGGGGTTTGACATCACCCTGCACAGCGCCACAAAGTACCTCAACGGTCACAGCGACCTGATCGCCGGGGTGGTGCTGGGGGGACAGGAGCTCATCAAGACGATCCGCGTCACAGCAAACGTCCTGGGGTGGGTGCGGTGGCGTTGGGGTGGGGTAGGGAGCGCCCCTACAGAGGTGGGCCTACATGTGCGCCTGGGAGCCCTCTTCGTGTAATTGCGCCTTTATTTCTGGCTCAGAGGCAGGCTGCAGTCTGCAGGCACCCACCAGCTTGCCTGCGTTTGGGGGTCTTAACTGCCGCCTCCTGCATACCCCACACCTGCGCACACAGCCCTGCGATCGACCCGCACTCGTGCTTCCTGCTGTCCCGGGGGCTGCGCACCCTGGGGCTTCGCGTTGAGCAGCAGGACCGCAACGGTGAGGCCCTCCTGCACCGCACAATTCTTGGTCTTTCTTCTGCACCACTGCGATCTCCCAGACATTACGAGGAGAGGACCGCAGTGCAAACACTGCCAGAGCCCAATTCCATTGTCCCAACCCACCACCCACCCAGCTCCAGGATGCAGAGCTTGAGGTTCCGCCCAGCCGCCTCCGCAACCGCCCGCCCCGACCCAGTCGAGCCCGTGACCACCACCTGACAAGTGGACGCAAGCCGGCAGTCCGACGGCGCTGGTGCAACAGAAGGGGCGATGCCCCTCCACATGCCGCAGCTGTCGCGTCCAGCGCCGCATCTCGTGGAAGACCGCCACATCAGCTACTGCATCGCGAACTGCACGCCGCCGGCTTCAATACGAGAACATGGTGCTGCTGTCGTCGCCCGTGGCCGGGTTCTGCTCCGCCTTGAAGTTGTACAGGCTGAGACCGAATTTTCACACGCACGCGTCGTTGGTGTGCCCTGCTGCAGACTGGCTGCTATTCCTGCTCCTGCTGTTGCCGCTTGCTCTGGCCCGCAGGCTTCTGATTGCTCTGCGGATCAATCGCCGCATTGTGCAGCACACCTACAGGCTCCTCATGGTGTTGTGACGCCGATGCAGCACCTCCCCCGCCGCTGGCTACGTTGGCGGGAGGCCCATCCCTAGACCTGCTTGCTGCTGCTGCGCCACTGCAAGCAAATTGGGGCTCTTTATGCTGCTCTGTACTGTCCTCGATCACGCAGGGGGGCTGATCTCGCCCGCAGCGCATGGTTGAAGTGATGTACAGTACGAACTCCGAGGACGCTCTCCAACTGCAGACGTTTATTGTTTTTACATTATTTCATAACAATGCTTTATGATAAGATTCAAGTTGAGTTCAATACACAGCGCGTGTACATGGTGACAACACCCGCTTGGTCTGATACGGTACACCTGTGGTCTCCGACCTGGGCTCGCTGTCACAATCGCCGCAGTCATTGTCTGGATCTGGCTTGGTGGGTTGACAACCCACTGTCGGCACACTGAAGGCCCTGTGCCCGCGCTGCAGCACCGCCAGCAGCACGCTCTGCTCACCACTGCGCTTGGCCGCGGCCTCCTGCTGTACGTCTGACCCCTGAACACCCAATATTGCTGCAGGAGAGATGGTGCCAATCGAGTCCCTCGACCGGCAGAAGCTGGTTGGCCGGGTGCTGCAGTGGCTCAAGCCAAAGGTCCGGCACAGTCCTCTGCGCGTCGCAGCGCAGCCGAACCCTGACCTTTGCTCCTGTCTGACCGGATGTGTTGCCTTCTACCACCACACTCTCACACGATGCTGCCTTATTCATGCTGCTGCAGGACCTGTGCAACGCCCGGCAGGCGGCCAGGCTGTTTGACCGCGCCTCGCGGCTGGAGACCGACAGCTTCTCAGCCTTGAAGCTGAGGCCGGACAGCATCCTGTCTGGGCATTACGCCCCCGACTTCTCCAGATTCCCGCTGCTCGCGCGCCTCTACCTGAAGGACCCGTATAATCAGCGTGCACCTGACCAGCTGCGCTGGTGCTTTGCGGTGGCCGATCGGCCCAGCCCGCGCCGCGATGCGGCCTGCGCCGTGCTGGCCGCGCTCGGGGAGCTGGACGGCCGCGATTGGGGAATTTCGGGTCCGACTGACCTTGCTACGGTGTTGAGGCACATGCCCGGCATCACCTCGCTGCGGCTGAACCTCTGCACACAGAGCGCTGAGGAGGCACTCACCAGGCTCGCCATCCTGCCGGCATTGGTGCCGCGCATCGAGCGCCTCGAGCTGTTGCCCTCCTGTATGGGGCGCGTTGAGTCGGATTTTGATAAGCACTGTGCACGCATCATTGGCAGCCTGCCGTGTCTGCGCTTGCTCTTGATGGGCTCTTTCAAGGACGCGTCCGTGCTTGCCACACTGCCGTGCTCCCGCCTGACTTCGCTGGAGTTTGCCGTGGAAACGTGCCAGCATTGGCCGCCGCTGGGCTGTGATGTGGGGTTGCCTTGGCCGCACCTGCGCGAGCTCAGGGGCATCGACCTGCCCGCCGGGGACTGGGCGGAGCGGCTCGCCCTGGGCCTGCCCCACCTCACGCTGCTGGTAGCAGAGCCGTCGGGCGACTGGGGGACCCATGCCCCTGCGGCGTTCCCAAAGGTCCGCGCCGCGATGTTCACATTCTGTCAAAGGGGTTTCCGCCGCCTGTGCCTGCGGTCGCTGGTCCCCGACGTGGATTTTTTGGAGGTTATGTTTGATGATGACGCGGTGCTGGTGGAGATTTCTACCACGGCGCTGTCCGGCCTCACGCGCCTGTCGCACCTCGCCTACGACAATATGCACAAGGGGTTCCTGCCCCTGTGGCTTTGCTAGTGGGAGGCTCTTGCGGCCGCGCCCCACCTGACTGAGCTCAAGTGCGACGTGTCGATAGAGGATTTGGCCCGGCTGGCCAAAGTCACTGGCCTCGAGTCTCTCCACCTGACGGTGGCTTTATCGTGTGAGGTCTCTCTGCATGGCCGCCTCAACGTGGTTTGGGGCAATTACGAAGGAAGCACAGGCGTCGACTTGGGGGCTGTGGCATCTGCACTCGCCTGCATGCCCAAGCTGAAGAGGCTTGCTCTGGATGTCCCAGGGGGCCGCAAGGACGTTGCGAGCCTGGTCAGCTTTGCCGAGGGCCTGCGGGGCGTGACATGCCTGCGTCTGGCGAGCATTTGGACTGCAGAGCAGCTGTGCATATTTGTGTCGCGCCTGAAGGCGCCCCTTCGCACCCTGTGGCTGCAGTCAGTGCCATCAACAGCTGACGCCCCTGACTTTGCTTGGCTGCTTAATGAGCAGGCAGAGCGGGGGTTGATCATCCAAGGCCCACATGATGTCAAATGGCATCTCCACCCGGCTCACAACTTTTTCACAATACGGACGTCTTCGTTTGCCAAAATGTCATGAGCTGCGCAACCCGCTTGTGGACGGCGGCAACTGCTGCTGTGCAAAGTTGATCCCTTATCAACCCCTGCAAAGAGCCAAGCTTGCTCGTGTCCTGCAGCGCCTGGTAAACCCCTCGTGTTGGTCAAGGCTGTCTCTGGAGCAGCTGTTAGTGTTCATTTCGCGCGTCATGGGGGCCCTGCACAGTCTTTGAACTGGGTATTTGTCCATGACTGCAACCACGGCTAGTCGCCCGGCCGGAAAACAATTCCGATTGAGGTGTTGCACTGGGCAGTCAGGCAGGAAAATCCTTTTGTTTTGCTCTCGTGAGTTTGACCAGTCCTGGAAGTTGCGCATGCACTCACGGCTGATCAGCTGCACTTGACTGTGCTGGGTCTCACAAAAACCTTTGATTGGTGACTTTTGACCAGACGTCCCACCCAAAACTTCCCAGGCTTTCTTGCAGCGAAATTTAAAAAACAGGCCGGTGCACGCGCACCGGACCCTTGCATTTTGGGGCAGACACTCGCACCTGCACAGCAGCGCCTCTCAGCGACAATCGGCTGGGACAGGTGGCGGGACAGGGCTTGAGCAGCAGAGGCGACACAATAAGTTTGTTTGGGTGGCATGAATGTTACACGTGCCCAACCATGCAAATCACACGCGGGGACCGCACTACTGCATGCTTGACTGCCGAGCACCTTGCCACGCAATAGCTCAAGACTGCAAAGAACGGGCCAACATGTAGAATACGTCAGTGCGGGGCACGGCGGGGCACCGGTCATCAGTCAGTGCTGGAGGGGTGAGGGGGGGTCACGGGGGCTGCTGGCGCCGAACGCGCACATGCGCGCGCAGAGATCACAGACGTTGTGGGGGACAGGAGTGCGGTCGCGGTTCATACGCCTTCTGTGGTTTGCATTTGAAGCTTCACTTCACGTGACGAAGGAGGCCTGGGTGGGTCACAGCAAACGGCTGGGGAGGCAGAGGAATCGTGGACCCAAAAAGCATACGCGCACGAGCTGGGGGGTGTGGGCCGAGCAAAGGCAGGCTGATCCGGCGGGCGCGCTGGGCGCCCGCCGGGGCTGGAACCTCGTCGTTTGACCGCGAAAGGGGAGCACATCCCAGGGCCTGGGAGGCTCCCAAGACTGCAAATAAGGACTGGAGGCCTGGCATGGAGAAACGTGGGGTTGCGGGAGAGGCTAGAGAATACACAGTGCAACCTATGCCTGCCTGCCTGCCTGCCTGCCTGTTGTCTGCTGCTGCCAAACACGCGCGCGCCAGGCATAGCCGCTGGCCGCAGCACAGAAGTGCGATGAGGAAAGAATGATGGCGCCGGCTGGATCACGGGGCAAAACCCCAAAGGATCACATCATACTGCCCAACACACGCAAACACGCATATGCGCACGCCCCAACCTGCCAGAGGCACCCTGGCGCTCGCCTGAGCAGGCGGCTGGTCCCGCCCCAGCGCCGAGCCCGCTCTGGGGCAACCCCCTGCCTCGGAACTGGGGCTGGCGGCAAGGCAGGGGCTGAACCAGCTCACCCAAACCCATCAGGGGGAGGGCCTCAGGGACCCTGCAGCGGGGCGCACCCAAACATGACACAGCCCAAAAGACCGCGCCTGCACCCGCGACAACTGCACGGCGGCCCAACCAGATCAGATGGGATCAGATCGGGTCTGATCAAATCTCGGATCACGAGGCGGACTCCGCGGCGATCTCCTGTACGGCCGACCTCGCGGCGTCCGCGTCGTTCTCCGCACAGCACCAGCGCAGGAACTGATAAGGCACCGACAGGAAGTGCGCCGCAGAGCCTGGGTCCGCGAGCTGCGCGTTGAGCGCCCTGAACACTTTTGAGCGCGTAGCGCTGTCGAGGTCCAGCGCTTTGAGCAGCGAGAGGACGCCATTGAATGCGAGGCTCTTGGCCTTGGGATCGGTCGCTTCCCCAGGCTTCAGGTCGATTTCGGGGAGCACCGGCAGCTGCGCCCGCGCGGCCGCAG